GAAGTTAAGTTCTGATGTAAATTTAGAAGAATCAAACTTTTTTAATGTCTAATATACTTTAGAATTAAGTATTTGAATAAAAAAATAATTGCTTAAAAACATTGGGATAGTAAAAGCAAGTAAATTGTCAAAACGGTTTTATAAATGAGTGTGTCTCATTTAGTGTGTAATTTTGTGTAAGTATGCATTTCCACATTTACATTAAAGCGAAAATTCTATAAATAAAATGAAGCTGTTTCTAATGAGATTTTAAATATTTTCATATTTACAAAAACTTTAATTTCAAAGATGTTGAGTTCTATCAAATATGGTAAATTCATACCAAAGGGTTAATTTCTTTCTTTACATTTGTTGACATTACTGTCAGGTATGAGAGAGCTCGACTGAATTGTCACTTCTACCTTGTTGAATATGCCTTGGTTTACTGTATACTGTGAGTAAAACTGCGTTTGTAGATCTTCTCTCTTACGTAAAGTTTTTTTTAAAAGGACCTTTTAATCTAAAAAATGTGATCACTTCAAAAAATTATTTAGAAATTCAGTGCATTGTAGAATAACAATATGTATGGGTACCAAATGAAAAAGAAAATTCTGTAGATTAAAAAAAATAAAATAATTTGGCTTACGAGGACGAATGGGTATTGGAACTATCATTTTAATTAATTTAATTTTTTTAAGCTCACAAAGTTAGAAAAACCAAATTTGAGGATGTGGTTGAGTATATATTAGTCCTTAGCATATACATTTTCAATACTTACTTATCCTTAAGCACCAAAAAATTGAATCTGCCTTAGTTATATAGATTTTTCACATTACTTTTTTTCTACATTGCACTGAGGTATCTAAAAAATTTTTTGAAATAACTAACCATATTTTGCAGCCTTCAAAGTCCTTTAAAAATCCGGACGTCAAAGGGAAAAACTGAAAACGCAATCTTCCTATATTTGGCCCATGGTTTTGCAAATAGTTATATTGATTTATTTGTGTGTAAAATAGACTATCGCACGCTGCTATTATGTAGTATGTAATCGAATCGCTGGTTTCATCTTTAATAATTACACAGGTTTACAAGAAAATAGTTTCTGCATATTGTACCAAACCTCTTTATCCCTATGTTATTCGACGCGCTCAATGCGAATGCGAGGTCAAGTAGGGAAAAATTCATTGAATAAACCTGAAAATTCATATACAGTATATTTTGCTTTGCTGCCTTTATGCTTAAGTGCACATTTAAGATACCTACCCTAAAATGCGCATTAGCGGCATTATTCTTAACATTTATAAGGAAACTCCTCCGATAGATGCATGGCGATACCTGCCTTAAAAATTGTGCAACTATTATTAACTAGCAAAGAAAGTATTAGGTTTACCTGCACTGGCCCTACAATTACCTAATTTTACAAGCTTTTAATTATTTTGCTCATCTCGCAGAACAACGATATAGATAACACAGGTCTGCAAAAAAATGGGTTCGGAATGTTCTATAAAAGTGTAGTGTCATTTCCGAAGTAATTTTTTGCGTAAAATCCGAATCCGGGGTTTAAATTGCTCTATCACGTCAGGACTTTGAGATATCCTAACCTAAAAGTGCAAAAAACGCTGTTTTTGCCCATTTTTGAGGTTATGTAGCTACGAAGATTTTGCTCTTCATAAAAAAGTAGACATGGTATTTTAAAGTATAAGTCTTCCTCTTTTAAATTCCGTTGAGTTTGCTCAAATATCTTAATTTTTTCACTGAGATATCGCATTTTGAAGTCTTCATGTTTGTGAATGTAATCGACCGTATCACGTCTCATGTTATCTCAATGGATTTTCGAATATCGAAAAATTCACAAACATGGAAACTTCAAAATGCGATATCTCAGTGAAAAATTAAGATATTTGAGCAAACTCAACGGCATTTAAAAGAGGAAGACTTATACTTTAAAATACCATGTTTACTTTTTTATGAAGAGCAAAATCTGCGTAGCTACATAACCTCAAAAATGGGCAAAAACAGCGTTTTTGCACTTTTAGGTTAGGATATCTCAAAATCCTGACGTGATAGAGCAATTTAAACCCCGGATTCGGATTCTACGCAAAAAATTACTTCGAAAATGACCCTACACTTTCCTAGAACAAAACGTTGTTGACCTGTGTAATTAGATACCATTCGGTAAAAATTTCGCTTGCAGTAATTTCTACGTGGTAAGTGCTCCTCCATTATTTGGTTTCACAGGGATTCGGATACCTTCCTCATTGAAGTAGTAAAGAAAATTCGCTTAAGTGCTTTTTTCGGTTAAGTGCACAAGTTTTTCGTGCAAAGAAGGATGGGCAGCTAAGCAAAATATTCTGTACATATATGGGGTTCTCAACTCGCGTAACCCGAATCCGGCGTCCCTTAACCACCATAATGTCAGGTTCGAGGTCACTTGAGGGTCAAATAGGACAAAAAATGTATTCAATAAAAATTAAATTTTTTGTTGTTTTTAATTTTGCTGAATCCGAATATGGGGCCCCTTGATTCTTCAAGGTCATCCAACGGCCATGCGAAAGTCATCCCTAAGTCAAATTCAGAAGAACTTTAATGAATTTCCAGGTTTATTCAATGAATTGTTCCCCTACTTGACATTCAAATGACCTCGAACGTGACGTGATGGAGGCTAACAGAACTCGTTTTCGCATTCCGGGCGTCGATTAATATAGGGATATAGAGGTTTGGTTCAATATACAGAAACTTGTTTGTTTTGTAAACCTATTTTATTATCTACACTGTGCGACAATTTTATGACAATTCAAACCAGCCCGGACTTTGCTAACATTTTCTGGGGGTATACATATCGTCACTACACACGAATAAAGGCGCGCTGGTGTTTCGACGGTGAAAAAATACGCGTAAAAAATTTACCAAAAAAGACGCTTAAGGAAAACTTCGACGAAGAAAGACGCGAAACCTAGTTTATGGCGAAGAAAGACGCGTAAACGTAAGTTTTCATGTCCTGGCCTAAGTTGTTTTCAAAAAAGTGGGAAAAATGGTTAAAATAAATGTCTGAGCGAAATTAAAGGCTAAGACATATATTGTAAAATTTCATGGCAAATATTTTCGTAGAAAATTTTAACCCTTTAAAGCAGAGGTAGGCAGCTTCGGCAGAGAATTTTTGTAGTGTGCGTGCAATTGATGTCACTGTGTGCGTGCGAACAAGTCGTAAGGTTAAATGAAGCTTGTATGTATACGCGAATACGACGCGCATTCGTCCGCCAGGCAGACGCTGCCCAGCTTTGCTTTAAAGTGATGTTTCAGATAAATTGATGTCTGATGAGTTTAAAATAAACAAATCAACCGTTAACAGAATTAGTCAAAATGAAAGCAAAAGCAAAGATAAAAAATATATAAGCCGGTCTTGGGAAACAGCAAACCTAAAACAGCGCGAGTACCCAAAAAGGATTTACACAAATATTTTGTCTTGAGAAAAAGTACAATGTTCCCATATCTGTCCAATTTGTAGAAGCTAAAGTCTGCAAGTTACATAAAAATAACAAACTGAATCTTTTTCCAGACAAGAAATAAATTGCTGAGCAGTATGTTAGTCGATCAACTGACGCTTATTGTAAATGCTAGGTGAAGCCAAGTCCTTCTCCATTTGGTCCTCCCATGGTAGTGGGGGCCTTCAAATTCCACCATCGCGACCCGTGTTGGATACTTCGAGAGCTGGACCGTTTCTGTCCATTCGTACGACATGACCAAGCCAGCGTAACGGTTGTAATTTGACTAGCTGCACTATATACATGCCGTTGTAAAGCTCATAGAGCTCACGTTCCATCGTTTGCGGTACTTTGCCAATGCGTAACGGCCCATAAATCTTTCGCAGAATCTTTCCCTCGAAAACTTTAAGAGCCGCCTCATCAGATGTTTTCATTCTCATTGACGCTTATGCTCTGAGACGGCGGGAAAAGCTTCGTTTTGTCCTCGTTCATCATCGGACCCTCACGCTTTGCTTCTCTTTCAAATTCCAAGAAGGTGGAATAGACATAGCCCTTATTTCTACGAATAGTGGCGATATGGTTCGCTATGGTCGAAATCGGCCGCTGTGGTGTAGTGGTAAGCAGTGCGCGCTTACACTCCGCAGGGCCTGGGTTCAATCCCTGGTCAAAGCGACATGGCAAAAATAGAGAAAAATGGTTTTTCTTAACAGCGGTCGCCCCTCGGCAGGCAATGGCAAACCTCCAAATGTATTTCTGCCATGAAAAACGGATTCTCATAAAAATACAATCGCTGTTCGGAGTAGGCGTAAAACTTTGTCCCCTTTGTGCGACAACATCAAGGTGCACGCCACAATTTGGAGGAGAAGTTCGGCCAAGCACTAACATACAGTGACGAGCAAAACTGTAACATGGTGTAACACTTTTTATTTCAGCCACCGCTATATTTCCAAGTTCTAACGACTTTTATCCTTTTGCTGTATATTTTTGTTGGTACATCCCTACTCCCTCTCTCATAACGATTTGAAGTCAATACAACAACAATAATAAAACCAGCAGACAAAAATGTAAATTAAGGCAGATGTTACAGTTTTGCACTCACTCTCAGTTTTGCATTTGACAGTTATCTCTTCCCTGTAGTCAAATGTACTAGTTGAAAACTACTTAACAACTAGTATGAACCGCATGCCCAACTAGTCAGCCAACTATCTTTTTTCCATACAAGCAACTGGTATTTTTAACATGGAGATGTCCTACGAGATGGCAATTGTCAGATTTCAATCGGAAATATACCAGTCTCATACTAGTTGAAAATATACAGAAAAATACTAGTCAAATTTTGGACCAAATATGCCGGTCTCATACTAGTTGAAAATAGACAGAAACATACTAGTCAAATTATGTAAAAAATATACCAGTCGCATACTAGTTCAGA